CCGGTTGGGGAACATAGGAGAGGCATATTTCTCACGTTGGTATTCTCTCCCTTTCTCCTTCCCCTTCCCTTTCTCAAAAAATAAATAAATAAAGTCTTTGAAAATAATAAAACTTTTCAGATAATAAAACCCAATTAAACATTCCAACCAGGCTACTTCAATATCATAATGTGAGGACTGCATTCTCCCTGTAATTTTTAATGTTATTATTGTTGTTGATTTAATTAGCCTGATAAATATTATTGCCATTTGTACTTTTGAGGTAGCTTTTTAAAAGAGCATACCATAAAAAGCATATCACTACGCATGTCCTACAAACATGTTAAATAATATACAATACATTGCTATGTGCCAATAATAACAAATTTATAGAGTACGAAGCCATACTACCAAAATAGCATGATTCTCAAGTGAAACTAAAATTTTCACATGGAAACCGAAATACCTGCCTAAGAATATGATCAATGTACATGCCTATTGGACTAATGCTGACATTCCAACTCTGTCAAAGATATCAATATTGGTATCAATCTTGATAGTTTTATGTTGTGTTAATATACAATACTACAGAAAAAGGCAGGCTTTGATATAAAACTGCCAATTAAGACAGTATATTAAATTTAAAATACATAGAAATAAGGTTATTACATGAATGAATGCACATATAATTAAATTTTTCCTTAAATAAAAGTTCTAATCAGTTCACATTCTTATTGATAATAATCTCATGTTGCAAACAGCATAGCACCCTCTGGTGCATCTGTTAAAAGATATATAAAATTCCCACACGGATAGAACCAGAGTAAAACTGAACCTTATAAACATCAGTGTTCATACTCTTTCATTTACTCCAGTACATTTTTAAACATGAATGCTTAAAATCAATTTTCATTTAAAAAGAACACTAAAAACTTTATACTAACAATTCAAGTAGGTGAGAAAAATGTTTGAGTTTGAAAAATATTTAAAATAATGAAACAACAAAAACAATACTGGTTTCCAACATCTATCATTCAAATTAAAACAATGCTACCAAAAAACATTCTTTCCGTATGGGATGGCAAAAGTTAACTTGTCATGTTAACCAAATTTTCCTTTATTCAAATCTTGCCTTCGCTTCTTGCTTCAGATGAATTTGACTAATTATGAAAAGTGCCCCTGAGTACTTTTTCTGAAGTCAAAGGGAATTTATCAGTACTATTAAGGATTTTTAAGTGTTTTGTGAAAGTCTGTGCAACTCATATAGCTTGAAAATAGAATACTCAGAAATAAAAATTATGTTAAATTACAAATCTTACTATGAATAGATCAAAACTTTTACTAAAAAAAAAACACTTTTCCTAGGAAAGTAATTAACTCCAAAAGTATATTTTACTAAGGACAAAGCAAAGGATGCCACCTGCTTTAGACAGTCCTTTTGTGAACCACTGGAAGTCCCTAACACAATGCACTAGAAATGAAAGTGACACCTGTTTAAAGCAGCCATCTGTCCCTAACAAGCTTGATTTAGTCAAATCTATTTAATCCAAAACACGGGAACACTATGCACCTGTGAACAGAAAGGAATTTAAAATCTGGTTTTTGATAGCCAGTGGGAATTTATAACAAAGAATTAATGGTAAATGGTTATATTAGGGAAACTATTTTTAAGGTAACAAAGTAGATTTTTAGGCTAGTGCTCAACATAAAAACAAACAAAAAATAGACTCCTCAAAATTTAAAGGTTTACTTCTTCGGAGACTTGTAAATTTAAAAGTTTACTTCCTTGGCATTCTCATTTCTCTTAACACAGTCTCCCTACAATACAAAGAACAAACTAATATTCCCATTGGACTATTCAGAAAAGTTGGGGTTTTCTTTTTTACCTCTTCCCACACACCTGATGCTATATATCTGCCCTTTTGCATGCACACACGCACACACACACGCACATAAATAGTCTTCATAAAATTTGAAAACCAAAAGCATACTCTACCTACTTCCTGATTTCTTTAGCTGAAAATACAAGGAAAGGACATACACAATATCAACTTTCTCAAGATTAATAACATGGTTTACCGAAAGTAACACATATCATTTAAATAATACATTAAATCTCTCTTGATTTATGATTCATTCACTTTTAATGGCTAAATTTTAATAGTAAAAAATGTCACATTAACTTTGCTTACGGTATACATGTTTTTTGTTTAGGATTAAATTGTATTAAACTCATGAACTATAAATCTTTTGAGTACCTAAACAGAGTATGAGACTACTTGAATACTAAAGGAATAAATATTTTTAAAATTAGGTATATGTACCCTATATAGTGAAAAAATTATAGGATGATGCATTTTAGGAATGCACTTTAGTTTACTATATTATACATGTGAATGTGATACAAAAATATGCCTAAACAGATCAATAAAATTCATTGGCCAAACAATCTAAAAAGACTGAGATAAGCATTTATGACATATAATGAATCATAGATATTCAGCTACTAAAAACAAGCTACAAGTGATTATTTAATACTTTTAGTGTTAACGTGTAGTCACTCACTTTCAGAGATTTGTTAGTCTAAAAACTGAGAACAGAGAATACCAATATATAATATAGTCCCTCCTCAAATAAATATCACAGAAAGAATAAAGGGCTAAGTATTTATCCTTGCATTACACTTTAAAATTTATCATTTTCTACTATTTCTGCTTATTATGTTCTCAATCCATATGAATAATATTGACGTACTTGAGCCCAAAGCATCTCTAACAGCAACTTTTATACCATATATGTACTTTTAAAAATAGAAAACACTTCTATTTAACTTCTCTCAAATCAATTTATGAATGAAAGTATAAATTACTGAACCTGAGATTACTGGAATAAACAAAATGCCTCAAAAAAGTTCTTGGACACTGCAAATAAAAATACTAAACCATAACATTATAGCATATAATCTACTCAGCTGAAAACCTATTATATAAATGGCATAAAGTCTGATGCTGTCTCAAGATAGCAAAACTCCTATTAACTTCAGAGAGAGTTTATGGGACCCAGGAGCTTCACCATCCAAAAGTGCTCAGGCATTTGACACTCATCTGAACAGGAAAAAAAAATACAAGTTAGTATCAGTGATTTGCATGGAACACAGATGGCAGAGGGGAGGCTGAATAAAATATAAAGGAATTTGAGTGCTCGGCGAGAAAGACTTTAGACCCAAGTACCATCCTCATTTAAAATAGCAATCACAAGGAAATGAACTGGAAGAGAAAAAAATTTTAAACCCAACTTTTATTTTACAAAAGCATTGCAATTACTCAACCTGCTCATTGACAATCTCAAGAATAATTAATACTGTCACATTATTCACAGGCTGCTCTGTCAGGTAAATCAATATATGTTTACTGTTAAAAAGACTATTTAAATAAGCACTTTAAAATTCTAAATAGAAAATTTTAGTATGTACAAGAATAATAGTATATTTGTTTTAGCACATATTCATTACCAAAACTTTTTACTGATAATCTATTAATTAAACGTTAGAATGAAAAATGGTCTAGAAGACAGTTACCTCTAACCAAGAGCCCTATTACTTGAGGACTGATATTGACAAACCTCAAATCTACAGAGAAAAATAGTTTTTTTAAAGAGACTTATAAAGGAGACTTGGACAGTGACCAGGTTTAAGTCACTGTCCAAAGCACGCCAAAAATAAGTAAAGAATATGTTAAGTACACACATGCCTAGATCTTAACAACCATAAAGAAAGTGAAATATACACACGTTTCAAGTTGAGAAGCTTCATACATTCTTTATGAACAACTTGACTTCAATTTCAACTCTCAAAGAAAAACGAACACAGAAGATGAAGAGGGGGGGAAAAAAGAAAACTCTTTAAAGTATCATAACTGTCACAAATAACATTGTAACCCGAGTTCTCACAAAGCTTCCTCCTGTCCTTTCCCTGTGTGTTTATCCACACAAAGTCTTACAACCACAACGAACTGCCAACACTCCACGGTGGGGAAGGAGGTTCATCAAAGTGAAATGGAACCTCACTCTACCCCTCCCGGCTCCACATGAAAGATAAAGCACTGTCAATAACTACTAGCCCAAGTATCACAGATGCCCCGCATCCGGTTTAAATCACAAGCACACGCACACACCAGACAGATAGAGGAGAGAGACTTTTTAAAAAATCTCTTTCCCAGTGCAGCGAAGAGGCCCCAGGTTTCGATGTGTGCGAGGGGTGTGGGGGGAGAAGAAAGAGGAGCAGGGAAGAGTGTTGAATGGATATATAAGGACTGTTTGCAGCACAAAGAAAACACAGTTTTAAAAGAAAAAAGAAGAAAGAAAGAAAACCGTGCCGCTGATGACGGTAAAAGAAGAGCAGACCATTCTAAGCACAAGGCTTAGAGGGGCAAAAATGAAGGGAATGGGCGGTGGGAAAAAGTTCACCCTTGTACCAGGGTAAAAATAACAAAACCTTTAGCAAGGCCCCACAAAGTGAACAACAACAACAACAAAACATCAGCTCTAGTGTCCCCCTTGCACACTGTTGTCTATTTCGGTTTTGAAAGAAGCAGGAAACAAGCAGCTTTGAAAAAGAAGAAAATTAAAGAAAATTCCTTCTGCTTTCACCTGACTCGCCTCCTCAGACAAGACCTAGGAGAGAGCTCCACCGTCCGCCACGGAAAACTGGCTCCCTCTCCCGCTCGCCTCGCAGCCCCCAGAGCTCCCACTCCATCCCTGAAGCGCGGCCGCGGAGGGCCGGGGCCGGCGGGCGGGCGGGCGGCGCGGCGCCCACACCCCCGACCCAGCAGCGGCGCGCACGGTCCATTGTAAACAAGCCCGGGGGACCGATCCCCTCGGCAGCGGCGCCGCAGCGGCACAGTCCCGGTGTCAGGAGTGAGACCCCGCACAGCCACACTCAGCTCGCACACACGGACACACACACGCACGGACACACGCGTTCACACGCATCCACACACATGTAGAGACCGAAGAATATTCACCTTGGCTGTGGATTATTGTGGTGTTGTTGGTGGGTGATGGAGATGGTGGTGGTGGGGAGGAGGAGGAGGAAGAGGAGGAGGAGGAGGAGAGGAGTAGTTGTTGTTGATGGGTAACAGTCGCCAGGACTACGGTGACTATGGCGCTTGATTCACAAGGCAACGGTTGCTATAACTCACAAAAGAGAGAGAGAGGGAGAGAGAGAGCGAAAGGGAGAGGGAGACACTCGCAAGGGGAGGGGTGGGGGAGGGAAGAGAGGAGGAGGCGGGCCGGCGAGTCGCCGGAAGAGGCGGGCTCAGCCCGTAGACTGACAGCTCCAGATCCCGGGCTGTGGGACCGGTGGTGAAGCTTCAGTGGAGGGACTCGGAATAAAGATACTCAGAGATTTGGCAGAGTCTGGAGCTACCCCAGAGCCTTCCCGTCAGTTAACTACCACAAGCTCTAGTGAGGCTAGACTGGGAGTTGAGGGGCGTGGTGCGAAGGGTACGTTTTGTGAAAGGAGACCTGCGAGACCCAGCAGCAAGCTTTGTGCATAAAAGCCCCAGAGTCGCCGGAGCCAAAGGGACAACCCCGGGAAGGAAAGTGTTGAGTGCAATTCCACACACTTCATGGAGAGTCAGACAACGCGAAAGTAAAACCTAATTTGAAGAGCGGCCGCCTCCCCCGCTCCGCCTAAAACGTCATTTCCGGGGCGGAGGGTCCCGGATGTGCTGCCGCTACTGTCTCCCACCTCCCCCTTTTTTCTCTTTTTAAAAATCTTCGTTTCTAAGGCGCAGGCAGTGTTCTTAGTTGCATCTGCCTCCTGGTGCCTCGCATACCCAGGCTCTTCAGGGCTCCGGAACCCGCGCTACACTGGAGGGCCCGACCCGCCTTCGCCCTTTTGGTTTCCGCGCCCAGGCCGGCTCCCGCCTTCTGAGGCCACGACTCGGAGGAGTGCGGACCGCGAGGCGTGAGCGAGCGGCCGCGGCCGCCATCTTAGAGCATGCGGGCCCGGGGGCGTGTGGGCGGCGCGCGGGTGTCCCGCAGTCCCGCCGCGGCTTGGCGCGCAGAGGGGAGAGTCGGAGGTCTGCTGGCCCTCCGCCGCGGAGAGGCACCTCGCTCTCCGAGTGGGGAAGCAGGGAGTGGTGACCTCCATCACTCCCTGCTTCCAGGCAGGGCGAGGAGCTAAGTGCTAGTAAACAGCAAGAAACTGCCCTCCTGAGAAGATGTGAAAAGGCATGGCAACCCCCCTCCGCGAAAGGTGCCGAGGGGTGGGTTGCTTACACCTTCCTGAAGTAGCACCCAGGTAGTTTCTTTATCTTTAGCCCTTAAGTAAAGTGCGTGTCCCGCTTTGAAGTTGACCCAGCTGGAATTTCAGCTTAACCCGGTTTCTTGCCAACCTGCTGCGTTGAGACACACGAATGGCTTTCGTTTGGGATGGATGTTCGCACTCAAGTAGCTATCGCTGTAACCAGCTTTGGCATCCCCCAGCCTCTGACAGCTCAGGGTCCCCAGTCTGCAGCCGGACCCTGCCAGCACCGCAGACCTCCAGCCCGTGCTACTAAGCTGCTTATCCGAGACAATAACATTACAAGCAGAACCTTAGGAAGTCGGTCTTACTCTTGAGGCTTAGTTTTTTTGCACCTGCCAAATAAGGGATTTGGGCCAATATAAATTCACAGAACTAAAATAATAATAGCGACCGCTACTGAGGTCTTACACTGCCCTAAACATTGTGCTTAGTGTTTTACGAACATTATTTCATTTATTATTCACAACAGCACTATTAGGTACATAATATTTTAGAGAAAACAGGCACAGTCTTTAAAGTCAATGGTTTTAATTTACGGCTCTGTGTCATGGAATATTAGGTAAGGGTATTTTGGAACCAAGTATTTAAACAATCGATTTGAGAAAGTTACGTGGTTGCCTTCGGTAATTTTGTAATGAGTTGTAGAGGTTCTTATAATAATGTATTACAATGTAACAGTGACCAGTGGTGAGCACAAAGCTAAAGCTTAAAGGTTGCAGGATCCGCCATGGTAATAGGCTCTTCTAGTCTGAGAAAAATGAGTGTGCTGACCAACAGCAGTGAAACTCCAGATTTGGAAGAATAACTTCGACATCCATATAGGAAGTACGGTGTGCATCCCAGGTGAATGAAAGCTGGTAGTCATGAACACTCACTTCATTACATTTGCAGGGGGAGTCCTCTGGCCCCGTACTGGTGTGTGGAGCTGTCCGCTCACACTACACAGCTCTGAGAAGCTTTGCTTTAGTCCTATTGTCCGCTGTAGTTGGCCTGTCCTTTTCCCCACTGTCAGCTGTTGCTTCTTACTGTCAGTGAACATTATCCTCTTCACCCTTTTAATTTACTGCTTTTAATCCGCAGGCAAGAAAACCACATAATGAAGCTTGAGCAAAACTCTCAAGAGTATAAATAAGTACTTTGAGGAAATCTCCTTTAGAAAAAGTGTGTGACTTTTGTGCAAGGACATTGTAACATCAGTTTTAAGCTGCTTAGAGACTTTTTTTTTAACCTGCCTGACTTGGCCTATATTCTTGAGTTAGGATATATAGATAAATTTTCTAAAGTGAGTTCTTTAAAAGTTAGGATTTATTTCCCCTTGTTTTATGATAATTGATTATATGACTTCTCCCCAGAATAAGGTTACTATAATATGAACTTTTCAGTTATTACCACCACACTGAATCAACAAACCAGCCAGTTCAAGCACAGATTTGAGAGCATGCATGTGTTGTTTTGTGCTACAACTAGTTATGAGAGAACCTAAAAATATCTTTGCCTCTAATCAGCCTGATAGGATCTTCTTCTTGGTCAATTTTAAGCTAGATAGTTGTATCCTTACATAAATTGTGCATATATTTCAGAAATAAGTTATTTGTTAAGACATACAGAAAAGATCAGCAGTGTCTAACATTTAGTGCCTGTTACAGTACATTACACACTGGGCTTGATAATAAAAGGTACCTAAGAAAAAACTATCTTACATTCCTTGACAAATTCAGTAAACTGTCAATGCAGTAATTATTTGTTCAGTACATAAAAAGGGCCAGATATAGTTCCTGTCTACAAAATGTTCAAAGTCTGTATCTAAGAATTTAAAATTTTGTGTCCTTTGAACTTAGATTGATTTTGCTCTCAGGTTGGAGTGATTGGTAGAGACATCAGTTAACCCGTTTGTATCTGAACCTCTTGAAAAATACAAAGGCCTCATTATTTATGGATGGATTAAATACTTTATAAATTACTTCAGTACATTCTTGAGTAAATTTCCTTTTCAGTGTTATCTATTGTTATTTCTTCCTGTTGATATCTACAAGAACTAACAAATTAACATCAGTGTTTACTAAAGGAAGAACTGCACGTGAAAAGGTAAAATACTGATAGGCTTACTTCTGAAAACTTGTATGTATAAGAGTTTTGAAATTAATGTATTAGTCTATGGCAGCTTACCATTGAATTTGTAGTGAATCCTTTTATAAAGCAGAAATCACACCTGTTTAAAAACTTCCAACTTGATTGTATTATTGGTTTTCTTCAATTGAAAGGTGTCTAGAGTCTTAGTTCTCATGTGAAATAAATGATTTTATTTCAACCAATATGTATTGATTACTTATGACATGCAGAGCACTGGGGAATTAGACTACTGGATTAGTAATTATCTTTACTAGACCTGAAATTCTGTGGATACATAAATTGGGGTGGCCCAGAGTTTGCTTACTTCTTTCTGTACAATGGCTCTAGTAGTGCTTAGATGTCTTTAACTTCTTTTGAAACAATTTTGTTAGATTGTATATTGTGACAGCTGTCATATCATTGTGCATTTAAAAAAACTTACCAAAATTGTTGAATTTTTGTACAGCCATTTTAATACTGAAGATGTAAGAAGACATGCAACGTTTTCAGTGTATTGTGCTTTACTATTTCAAGAAAGATAAACATGTAACTGAAATGCAAAAAAAGATTTATGCAGTGTGTGGAGAAGGTGCAGTGACTGATCAAATGTGTCAAAAGTGGTTTGTCAAGTTTCTTGGTACTGTTGACATTTTGGCCAAATAATTCTTTGCTGTGGGGATGTTTTAAGCATTGGAAGATGTTTAGCAGCACCCCTGGCCTCTTCCCACTAGAAGCCAATAGTGGGAGATAGCTACATACTCAAAATGTCCAAATCAATAAAGTTATTGGTGAAAATGAAAAATGTGTCTTTTATTTTATGGAAAATGAAATGGAGTTTTTGGCCAACTCAATACCCAAAATAGTAGGGAATGGTAGATGCCAAGGTAATTCAAAACTACACATAATTTGCCATTCTAGAGCATCCCCAACTCTACCCATCCCGACCCAAAGTGTATTTTGGTTTTGAAGACATTGCAATTTTTTTGATAGATTTGTCCTTCTACATGTATTTTCTGTAATATCAACTAATTGTTTAATCGGCAGTCCTGAGATATATCCTTCTTTATATATAATGTGGAGTTTCATTTTTACCCCAGCACAGAAGGATGATGATAGAATTATAAATTGACTGTCTTTTTCAGGATCAAAATATCTTTTGAAAAAGCATGTAGCTTTTTCTCAATTAATGCAGAACATTAAATATAATATTTGCAGCTTTGAAACCAAATAATTGGAAAATGTCTATAGGACGAGGATAGAAAAACAAGTATTCATACAATGGAATACTATTGAGCAGTTAAAAGGAACTTACTAATGATACACAGAATTATGGATGAATTACAAAAACATGTTTAGCAAAAGAAGGCACAAAAAATACATATGAATCCATTTATGTAAAATTGAAAAACAGGAAAACATCTTTATTTAGTGTTTCCCTATGATGGCAGGGATGATGAGGTAGAATTTACTGGAAAGGAACATGAGGGAACTATCTAGGGTGATAGAAATATCACCTGTCCATCTTGGTCCTTCTAGCTGCATGTGGCTATTAAAATCTAATTATAAATTAATTAAATTAAAAATTTGGTTCTACAGGCATATTTGCCCCATTTTAAGTAGCCTTATGTGGCTAGTGGTTAGCAAGTGGACAGTAGAAAAACACAACACTTC